TCAGTTACTGGACTACCAGCGAAGTCCTGTCTTAAACTGTTAACTTCACACATGTATACTAAGGTCATTTCAGATTAAAGAGGAGAACTGAGACATACGACACACGCTGGTTCCAGATTCCCCACTGCCATGGACCACCTCAGGTTACACACCCTTTGTCGAACTGCCCTGTGAATCCTGGGGTTCAGGCAGATAAAACGGCAGCAGTTTGTCTATCACGTGCTCCTGTTTAATAAAAGTCCTTAGGTGATGTCCCATTATTTATCAAAAATAGGATGAAATCCAAACTCCTCTGCCCCAGCCCCTGATCCCATCACACCAGACCTTTCCTTGTGTACAGTCAGATGACCTTTCTCAGGCTCCCTCCTAAGGCACCAAGTCACAAATTCAGTGACTTAGAACACACCTCTGTTATCTTTTGATTCTGCAGGTGAAAAGTTCCCCATGGGTCAGGATGGTTCCCCATGGGCTAAGCAAGGAATTGGCAGGAGGGTGGGGAGGTTCATCCGCATCTTCACCTTCACCAGCTGCCACAGGCTGTCCCGCCCCCGCCTCCCTTCCTGCGGCCTGGCCCTTCCATCTTCAAGGGCGGCAGTGGCCATCGAGTCTTCCTCACATGCATCTGGCACTGACTGGGCTTCCCTGGTGGCTCAGCGGTAAAGAATCTGCCTGAAATACAGGAGATGTAGGAGACCCAGGTTCGATTCCTAGGTTAGGAAGATGCCCTGGAGAAGGGAATGGCAACCCACTCCAGTATTCTTGCCTGGGAAATCCCATGGACAGAGGAGCCTGGAGGGCTACAGCCCATGGGGTCGCAAAGAGTCGGACGTGACTGAGCACACACGCATACACACTCTGCTTCTCTCTTCCACTAGTAAGCACGCTTGTGATGACATGGGGCACGCTGGATAACCCAGAACAATCTCTCCATCTCCAGATCCTCCATCTAATCCACCTGCAAAGTCCGGAAATGCACATCTCGGGCAGGGAGGGAGGGTATTATCCTAACTACCATCACGGTGGTCCGCCTGTCTGGAGAGCCCACTTCCAGCCAGAAGACAGCACTTGGGCAGCACTTACCTGGTTATTTGTGCTCAATCCTGTCTCTTTGACTAGACTGTGAGTCACCGTGTCTTACTCATTTCTGCAGCCTTAGGGGCTTGGCTATAAAGATGGCGGGGAGGAAAAAGGAATGTGATGTTTTAATGAGTAAAGACCTCAGGCAGAGGCAAGACACACAGGACTTCTGTGCTGAGTACAACTTAGAAACTAGTTCTGACAGCTCTTCACTGGTCCTTAGCACATGATCAACCAAGCCCTTTAATCCGTTAACCATTCCAGGGAGGTTTTTCAGCAAACTTAAAAATCAACCATTTGCGTCTAAGGCTGTTTCTAACTTTATAATTTTATTTATTTATTTATTGGCCATGGTGGGTCTTCATTGCTGCACAAGCTTTTCTCTAGTTGCAGCAAACAGGCTTCTCATTGCAGAGGTTTCTCATGTTGCAAAGCACGGGCTCCAGGGCACGTGGGCTTCAGCAGTTGTGGAGCACAGGCTCAGCTGCCGCCCGGCACGTGTGATTTGCCCAGATCAGGGATTGAACTCATGTCTCCTGCACTGGCAAGCAGATGCTTTACCAGTGAGCTACCAGGGAAGCCCTTTTCTAACTTTGCTGTGATTTGCCATAGATCACAAAGTGCTGTCAAGTGTCCTCCTGGGCTTGGCTAGAAAAGGGTGAGTCACACACCAAATGCTTGGTTAGATGTTGCATTGGGGAATTATTATCTGCACTATTTCTGCCCCAGGAGAAGGAAATGGCAACCCACTCCAGTATTCTTGCCTGAAAAATCCCATGGACAGAGGAGGAGCCTTGTGAACTTCAGTCCCCAGGGTCACAGAGTCGGACACGAGTGAGTGACTGGGCACATGCACTACTTCTGAATTCCAAGAAATTATCCTTGACCAAATCTGACTACTGTGCTGTGTGTGAAAAGCAACCTCACCATAATAACTATTTGGTATTAGGATGCAGCCTGAGAACACAAGTCCCACCATAACAGATAAGCTTTACATGTATGTAGTATACAGAGGAGGTTTTGAACTGGATGCACTGCTACAGAAAGGGGAAGGACATTTTCTCAATATTTGACTTGGCTCTTTCTCAAACTTCTAAAAGTTTCTATAAATACATTAAGAAAAATGTTTAGGAGCAATGAATACCACCAACCAAACTTTTTGAGTAAAATGAAGAACTGCAGCTCTAATTTGCAGAAAGTCAGCAGGGTGCTGTTCCTGCCGTCTGGACACTTGCAACCTGCTTTCCCATTCCATGCCATGAAGCAGTTCGATGTCAACCTGCTATGGAGTCAAACGCTCTTGCTATTAAATCTCAGTCACCTACAGGCAGGACACACAGCCCACATGGGGAAATGGTTTGGAGCATCTGGAATGAGAGCTGGCACCACCTCACACACGAACAAACATTAAAAGCTATCCACAACCCAATGAAAAGCAAATGCGCCTCAAAAGTCTATTAGAATCTATAAGGAGCACAGAACAGATGTTTTGTGACACGCTCAATAAATAAAACAACTGTATCCACTAATGCTTCTGGACCAGCTTAAGAATTAGAACTTCAGTTAGAGGCAGAACTATTTCCCACTGGAACAAGGATTGTTTTCCTTGCTTCAGAAATCCAGTAATCATAAGGGTGGTAATGGTGCCAAATGTATCAAGAACCAGCAAAAACTGTGGTGGGATCTACAAACTGCATTTGTCACGAAAGTTACAAGCCCAGTGGAACTACACTGTTCTAACTTACTCCTTTCTGAAAACATTCTTTTTCCATCTTCCATTTCATCCTGAACAATTTTACTATGTTCAGCATAGTACCAACTGAGAAAAAATATGTTTCATTTAGAAACAAAAGTGAGAAAACTTTATAATAAACAAAACACTGCGCTTCTGCCACACGGTATTTCCAAGTTCTTATACATCTAAAATATCGCACAAAAAGATGGCTACAGTAACCCAAGTTCTCTGTAACAAGTATGCTGAAAAACAATGACAATTCAACCATAACAGATTCTTTTCTACACTGTGAGCAGATAATGCACCTACAAACATCCCCCCCGCCCCTTTTTGCTAGTTTTCTTTATAAGTCTTGCAAGCTCAAGCTTTTCTTCTTTTTTGGACGGGAAGGCGGGTTAATGGTCGGGCTTAAAATAAACCGGGTTTGCAGTTACTCTGTTTTTTAAGCCGATGAAGCACGTTTTTCCATTCCACGCCATGAAGCAATTCGATGTCAACTTGCTATGGAGTCAAATGCGACAAACTCTGGGAGCTCCAGCGGAGGCGGCGGCTTGCTGCGCGCACAGCTCCCCGCTCTCCTGCGGCACCAGGACGCGCCGCCAGCACTCGTGGCCTGCGGGGCCCAGGACAGTGCACACCCCCATCCCGGTCACCAAGGTCCGGTGACCCGTGCGGCCCGGAATCGGGGAAGGCCCCGCCGTGGCTTGATGTCCCCTTTCCTACGAAACCTGCCGGCTCCTGGGCTGCGCGCGGTGCACACCGTGCTCCTCGCCGTGGGAGGGCTACGACACGAGCCTGGGACGCGGTGTCCCCAAATCGCTGCTCTGGGATCCCGCAGCATCTTGCGACCCTGGAGCCCACTGCGGGGACCCGGGCGCCTCCCAGAGCGCAGCCCCGGCCGTGGGCTCCTCCAGCCCCAGCGTCCCAAAGTTGCGCGGCCGCGGCCGGGGCGACTCGGCCACCATGCGGTGCAGGGCTCCCCACCGCCCGCGCCCCGCCCGCCGGCGCCCAGCTAACCCGGCTAACCTGACGCCGCCTCGCCACTCCGGCGGCCGCCGCGCGCTCCTCGCCATGGCCAGCCCGAGAGCCGCGCCGCGCCGACGCCCGCAGCCTCTCGGCGGCTGTCCCTGCCCCCGCGCCCGAAGAGGCGCGGGCTGCGGAGCCTCCCGGAGCCCAGCCTCCCGGAGCAGACCAGAGCGGAGCCGAGCGGCCGGGCGGAGCATGCCCAGTGCGCTCGCCGCGGCGCGGCCGGGTCTTCTCTGCAGCGCGGCGGGGCGGGGCGAGCGCCGGGGCTGGGGCTGGTGGGCCGGCCCGCGGGGGAGGGGCCAGGGCCGCGAGGCGGGACCCAGACCCTCGGTCCAGGCGGCCCCGCGGCGGCTCCCCGCGCCCGCTGTCTCCGGCCAGCGCCTGCTCCGTGCGGCCTCGGCAGTCCCGGGGGAGTCCCGGGCTCCCGCCCTCAAGGCTGGGGACCCGCGCTGGACCCGCGAGGCCCCACCGCTTCCGCACCTACCCTTGCAGGGACCCCGTGCGGCCGCGAGGAGCCGCAGTAACGGGACGTCAACGGGCGGCTTCTGAGCCGGCTCTCGGGATTCTAGACCTCCTTCTAGACTACTTGTAGTTTCTAAGTTTTCTCTAGTGACCACTGCGGGGCTTTTTCAGTGAGAAAGACAGGTTTTCCAAGGCGCCTGCAGAAGTTGAGCGGCTCGGCAAGCGAGCCTTTTTGCAGACCCGCGGGACAGCGCGGTGCGGGGGCCGAAACCCGGCTCCTTCTAGGGCCGCCCCCAGGCGGCGGCCACGCCCAGCCACGCCCACACCGGTTCCCAGGTCCCGCCCCCCGGGCTGCGGCGAATACCCGGCGCGGCGGATTACTCGCGGCGCCGCGGGAGCGGATGTTCGCCGGGCTGGAGCCCCGCGAGGGCCGATTGGCCCTGTTCGGCTCTCTACACGCCGCTCTCTCCCCGTCCCCTGTGAGCTTCGCGGGCGAGCGTCCCGACCCCCGCCGCCGGCCCGGCCGCAGAAGCGGGTCAGCACCCGACTGAGCATGCTCGCCCGCTCGCCGCCGCGTCTGGACGCAGCCGGGCCTCCGGGTCCGGCCGCGCAGGGGCGGCGCAGGTGCGCTGTCCGGGCGCAGGTGCGCCAGAAGCAGCCGAGCCGGGAGTGGAGGGGGTCTGGCTCACGAGCGAGTGAACCTAGAAACCCTGTTTCAACATTAGTTTCATGACCTCAGGAACTTTCAGCTGGTTTTTTCTTTCAGGAAGCCTGAACGCTTCATTCCTGTCTCCAGGGTAGGAAGCATCTTTGACAACGGCACGAGGACACGGCATTGTCACCTGGTTTTTCAAACATAAGGCCTTGTCCTCACTCTCAGGTCATTCTGCAATATGATAGTCCTCTTTGTCTTCAGGCAGGCCTTCTCTGAGACCCCACACTCTCCAGGGCTCTGCAGGACTGCGCTCGGCCACCTTGGATGAACTTGAAGTGGGCGTGGGAACCTCTTGGGTCATGGTCACCGAGGAGAGGACGGAAATGGAGAGCTTCCAGCGAGGAGAGTCTGCAGGCTGGAGAGGCGTCAACTGAAGACCCCAGAGAGATGCCTTCAGGTCAGTGGGGTGAGGCCTGTTTCCCGTCTGGGGTGGGGAGCGGGGAGCACTGGCCCACCAGGTTTTGCGCTATTGTGGGGTCCTCTACCTGGGGCGGCATCACTTTCCTCTCGTCAGGTCCCAGGGAAGCGCCAGCGTGCTGGGGACACCACCTGTCGTGGAAGGTCACGCAGGCAAAGAACTTCCTGGGAAGCTTACTCTGGTACTTCCTCAGAGTCCTACCTTGTGCTGGGGTCCCCGCCTCTCTCCCCCGTCATTGTCCCTGCCTTCTGAGCCCTGCTCTTGAGCTTGCCCAGGCCCCTTGGTGGTCCTCAGCGCGAAGAGTCTAGCCTGGGAGAGGATGGGTGAGCACTTGCGCCCGGCCTGTCCCCAGCAGAACTGGTGAGCTGTGGTTGCCCCTCACCCACCTGTCCTAGTTCGGTGACCGGTACCCTTCTTCTCAGCTGTACACCCTCATGGATGTTGTCCCAGAGTCACTCATCCACTTTCCCCTGTTGTCCAGCTAGTTGCTGCGCCACCCACCTACCGGTAGACGTCACTGGGGGCAAACCCACCACTTGCCCCACCCTCTTCAGTCGCATGATCTTCACCATCAACCACAGAGTAACGACGATGTTCCAGAAGGATGCTCCCTTAGTGATCTCTTCAATCCATCCTGTCTCCACACAGTCTTCTTTCTAAGCAAATTGTATTTCAATATGTCTGCTAAAAATTCTTACATGGATTCCCAGTGCCTTCAGGATAAAGCCCGAGTTTAAGCATGAACTGGCCCCCAGCTCCCTCTCTGAATTACCATGTCCCCCATCTCAGTGACTTGCCATGCAAAGGCACACCTCCGTGTTCCTGTAGCTTTCCTGTGCCTCTTTTCACCTTGCTCACACCTTTGCAGGCTTACATCTTCAACACCCAGCGCAGGTTGGATGTTCTCTGACTTTCCCAGGGCTTCCTTGTGGTCACCTCGCCTGTTCCATATGCTTTGTCTCCATCTGACACACCTGACCTTGATTTATTTTCCTTCATCTCCACTGAACCGAGGCAGCATGACTGCACAAGCTCCTGTGGACACTCTCTGTCCTCATTAAGACTATGCTTAATAAGTGAATGCTAGATTTATGCACCCATATAATATTTCAGTTTCATTAGTTTAAAAAAGTCTTTTCAAGACTCCATATTGTGTTTAGTTGCATTGAGCAGCTTCAGCTGCATGCAACAAATTCTGGTAAATTCTCTTTTCATTTTTATTCTGTTACAAATATTTTCTAATTTTCCTTGTTACAGTTTCTTGGTCTTGTATGTGTTCAGTAGTGTCTGACTGTGGCACCATGGACTGTGACCCACCAGGCTCCTCTGTCCATGGGATTTCCTAGGGAAGAATACTGGAGTGGGTTGCTATTTCCTCCTCCAGGGGATCGTCCCAACCCAGGGGTCGAAACCACATCTCCTGCATCTCCTGCATTGGCAGGCGGACTCTTTTATCACTGTGATACCTGGGAAGCCCATGGCTTTTAAAATACACTCATCATTTTAAAGTGGACATTTAATTTCCAAATACATGGGGTTTTTAAATATCTTTGATATTTCTCATTTAAATGCTTCTCTGTAATCACTCTCTGTTTTTTCAGACTTCTAATTTTATTAAGGCTTTTGATGGTTAAGTCAAAGATCTCTGTCACATTGCACTTGAAAACATGTGAATTATTTTCAGGTATCTTTTGACATTGATTTCTAACATAACTCAACAGTGATAGAACAGACTCTGTATGATTTCAATACCTTTAGCCCATGAAATTTTTGCACCTGGTTTGATGTCCCTGGATATGTTACAGTATATCCTAGTTTACAGTCTATGAGAACTTGAATAGAATTTGTATTCTACTGCTGTGTGAAAATTGTATAAATCTTAATTATATTGAATTGGTTCATGGTACTTTTCAGGTCTACTGTATCCTTCTATTTTTTCTATATTTTCAGTCTGTTAATTTTTGAGATTTTTATATTGAAACTCCAACTAAAAATCTTAATTTATCTACTTAAAAATAATTGTAATATATAGTGGAACTATATGTAACTTTGTTCTGTATTTTCTTAGCCTCCTGGAAATGTGTTGTCATACTTTCATAATTTGAAAAAATGACAGTAAAAAAAATAATCCTGCAAAAAAAATCCTTTCTGAGAATTGTAAGGAAAAATATTAGAACAAAGTTATATCATATGCAATTTGCTGAATGGCTGTGCTCCTCCGAGTGATGTAAGGGAGACCTCAGGTCTGACCTTTGGCCCAGTGGATTTTCTTCGGCTTCAGAGGTCAGGGTGTGTTTGCTAAGCCGGTCTCTGGTCCTTGTTTATCAGTGTGTGGCTGCACAGAGTTCCGCGTGGTATTGCTAATTAATCCACAAACTCCTTTGTCCTCTCTCCTCGTTTCCTTCTACAGCGTAGTCATAACCTAATTACAGGTTACTCTTAGAATAGATTGTGTTTGTTTTTTTTCTGTTGAGAGTGTGGCATCAGGGAGGGCAGATTAACTGTTTAGAAGGAACATACTTTTGCATCTCTTCTGGATCTCCTTGTTTGCCTGGCAGGCCCAGTGCTTGGAGCTGACTGTGGTGGGACTGGCCACCTGCTTCAGATTAGCTGGGGCTGGTTAACACGCCCAGACCTCCTGGGGAGAGTAGACCTGAGCCGGCAAGTTTAACAAGCCGTCCAGGTGATACCTGGATTCATTTGAGAAACACAGTTGTATGTCATATGGATAAAAGAAAAACACTGACTAGTCCAGAACTTCAAGTTGCCCCTGTCGTGGTTTTCTTAGATGGAGAGCTGCATGTGGGCGGGAAGCGTGTCTCAGGAGTGTTACCCGTGTGTGTGCCTGTTGATCAGCCAGAGCCTGTGTTGAGGAGTCCCGGGGTCCTCACCAGCTGCTTGCTTCTCTGTGTCTTTACCTGGTGGCTGTCAGGCCGCGTCTGAGTCCCTGGCACTCATGTCCTCAGGGCAGCCCCCTTGAAGGGGGTTAGGGGGCTGTGGATGCTCTGACCTGACCCCTTCCCGGAAGAGTCTCGGAGGTGCAGCGTGACTCTCATTAGGCTGTGTCCTTGTTCCTGGGAGCCTGAACAGGCATGGGGTGGGTGGGGGAAGCCTGAGTCAGTGTTAGGAAGCATTCCCTTCCTTGTTCTGGATGTAGACGGAGCACTGATGCTGGTCCTCTGAGGGGTGTGTGCACGTGTGTGGTCGGACCAGTCAGCCGGACACCGGCAGAGCAAAAGGCTGCCTGCAGCTCATGTGGGACTGGTGACCCAGCTGGGGGTCACACCCTCTCCGACTGCCCTCTGAGGCCATAGCAAAGCCCTGGTCACCTTCCAGCTGAGCCTGCTGCCCCCTGGTCATTCCGGATTGTGACTTGGATTAGGGACGTGGTTTATGGGCAGGAGAGGGATGAATCCAGGAGTGAGCTCCATGTGCAGGGCCTTCCCCAGAGGAGAGGTGGGCGTGCTGGAAGGTCGGGGGAGGGCACTTGTCTGCAGAGAGCCTGCCTGGGAGCGGTGGGGGGGGGGGCTTTCTAAAACCGGACTTCAGAGCTGTGTTTCCTGTGGATTCTGAGAAAGTGATCTCTCGTGTGTAGCCTTTGTTCTGGTCTTTGAGTTTACAGCCTCCTCTGGAAGGAGGAAGGGCAGCCATCCCCTTCCCCACCGTGGGTCAAAGTTGAGTGACCCGTGTAATGAAACTGACAACCATGTTGCTGATCGGCAAGAGAGAAGCAGAGACATGCCCCAGGGACTCCAGTCGGGAGACTCTGCGCCCACATCGAGCACCACTGTGCCCTGGACTTTGCCCAGAGGGGCATCTGCAGCCTGCAGAACTGGGTGGGGGGACCGTGGACCCTGCACCAGAGAACTCCAGGGGAAGTGAGAGAGTCGAGGTGTGGTTTCTGTGCTGGTGATCCCACGCTCCACTCATTTTTCAGCAATTATGTGCTAGAACTAAGAAGGAAGGGGCTTCCTAGGTGGTGCTAGTAGTGAAGAACTCCCCTGCCCTTGCAGGAGACATAAGAGACTCCAATTTGATCCCTGGCTTGGGAAGATCCCCTGAAGGAGGGGATGGCAACCCACTCCAGTATTCTTGCCTGGAGAATCCCACAGACAGAGGAGCCTGGTGGACTCCAAGTCCATGGGATCTCAGAGAGTCATACACGACTGAAGTGACTTAGCATGCACACAAGGAGGAAGGAAAGGAAATTCTGTCCTTTGTTTATCTTGTGGGTGCGTATGATAAAAAGGGGACACTGTGACTCCAGCTGGGACAAAGCCTGAGGGGAGCCCCAGGGTGCAGCCGAACCTAGTGGGCAGAGGCCAAGGTGGACGACAGGGGAGTCGGAGCCTGGTGAGGAGGCGCAAAGGGAAATTTCAGAGGTGAGAGAGGGGAGAATGGGATGCTGGCCCTGCAAAAGGTGAAAAGAGCTGGTCTTATAGGAGAACTGAAGGACTGGGAGGCTCAGAGGCCCTGCTTTACATGGGTCCTGGCTTCCTCTTGGACCTTCCCCACTGCCAGGTTAGGGTCCAGGGAGCTGGCAGTTCAGGCCTTGCCCCGGGGCAGCGAGGGGGTGTGGTGGGGGCTGGGGGGTCAGGTTCTGCAGCGGGCAGCATGGACAGCTACACAGGGATTATCACCACAGTGATGGGATGGGGCTGAACTTACTTCTGATGCTGGTACCACTGTGACTTGAGCCCTGTCAAGGAAATGAAGTTTCCTGGTAGATTGAAACTCCTCCCCCATCACAGGAGACACACCCACGTGTGCCAGGCTTCCCTCTGATCCCTGCCCCGTCTCCCTGACAAGTGCGGTGTCTACCATTGCTACAGGGACGGTTGTGGGGTGTGTGCTCCACGGTGGGCAAGTGTGCTCGTGAATTGTTCTTCACTGCTTCCAGCCCCGCAGGGGCTGAACCATCCGACCCAGTGCAGAAGAGTCTCCTCCTGGCTGGACCACACCCGAGTTTCGGGCAGACA